GCTCACACTTCCTTTATAGGAAAGTGTGTCACTGCTACCTGTCTTGGCCAGGCATGTGGGGGGCCCAGTAGCTTCAGTTGGGCCCCAAGTGTCTGCGCCCAGGCCCAGTTTCTGAAACTGGACTGGGGCCTCTGGGCCTCGTGCAGTTAAGCACATCCAGGCAGCTACCCATCCTCCAAGTGTTTGTGTTTGCAGCATTCTCATTGGCTCGCGGCACATGTGTGACGACAATGCTGCTTGCTCATCGGCCCATAACCAGTCCGTGATGTGTCGGCCTCACACAGCGTGTGCCCAGGGCCCAGCCGCCTAAGCCCTGGGCTCAACTGTACAGCGCAGCCCTTTACTTTTGGAAAGAGCCTGGAGGCTCACGTTGCTCTGTAACCAACTGGCGTGCTGCAACTGTTTGAGTACACACATATGGAAATTGCCGAGAACAGGCGTCACGTGGATGGATATTCAGGCCTGCCTTCACTTAGGGCGGGCACGAGGCTTGCTGGGGGCCACAGCCCAGAACACTTGTATGTCTGTCTGATAAGGGCTCTGCGAGGCTCATTCCTCGCACATCTTTTTTTTTTTTTTTTTTTATTATTATTATTTTAAACAGGGCCTTATGGTCTTAGCTCCTTCTATTCTGGGGAGCGTCAGTCCGGTTCCTATTCCCCCGGCAAGTCAAAATATACAATACAACAATTATCAATCACACACGCTTCCTTCCGTCTGGCCGAAGGACCCCTGAGCAGCATTGATTGCTCCACCCCGGGAGGATTGACTGTCAGCTTGCCTTGTCCCTCTCTTTCCTCTCAGATCCGGAATCCCGATCTGTCAGATAAAGCATTTGACCCTAGAAAGAGCACGGATGTTGTCCTTATCCAACCTGGTCCTTCCCCATACACCACTATTGCCCCCCTTTGGACAGTCAACCGTATATCTTTGGAACCTACACCCTCTGTCTGCAATCTTGTCGTCCGGTCGTCAAAATTGGACCCTGGCAGGGAGCTCGTTAGCTTCCGGATCTCTGAGAAGGGACCATCCTTTGTGGCCCCGTTCGTGTCCACCTTGTTCCACGTCATCTGCATCCCCTGGGTTATGTTTATCCTCTTGCCGCCTAGGACGTGGTTAAGCCTTCCAGCGACGTCTGATGATGGAAGTCCCTTTCTGGAATTGAATTATGCCATTTCTCCCAGCATACCCGGTCCTGTCGCAGTTCTCCAATCTTGCCATCAACCAGCCAAGTCCTGTAGAATCTCTGCCTTTCCTTGTTCCGCTGATCTTCGTCTTCGGTCCAGGCTCATTTGGTCTTCCGCCATCTGCAAAGGATCTCAGCTTGAATCATTGTTTTAGTTTCTAACCACACTTTCTCCCGTGGATTGGACCGTCCTTCAATTGTTCGGCTGCATCTCTCCTTCCATATGACCCATAGAGTCACCTTCCTGATGAGTTCAAACCAGGACCTCTCAGCCTTCCGAGCCTGAACAGGGATGTTAGTCAAGAGGAGCAGCTGAATGGGTTGTTTGGGCAAGGGGGAAGAGAAGAGGGAGTTCCAGAGTGAAGAAGCTCTCGCCCAGTATTCGGTCGCTTCTTTACAGAGCACTAGGCAGTGGACCAGGTCTTCTACCGAGCCTTCAGAGCAGACTGTACATAATTCCGAGCTGTTTGGGTCTGTGATTTTACGTCTAATGTGCAGCCATTGGTTCACTGGCAGGGCTGCGTATACAATCAGCCATTGCAAACTTCTGATCTTGATTGGTCTGATGCGTTTGAATTTTTCCCAGTGGATTCGCGTGATTTTGTCTGCTTCTTGACCCACGAGATTCCGCCATCTGTTTTTGATGATTGGATCTGGATTTTTGGTCGTCAGAGACAGTCTGTACCCAAGTTTGACTGAGTAGTCGTGGATCGGGACTATTGACTTGAAGTTGCTGGTAGAATTTGGTTTCCAGGCCCACTCTGCTGGGTCGAACTCCAAGGAACGGATTGCCGTGTCCGGTCTGAAAATTGCCTTTGGCCATGAACCTAGGACCCTTACTTTTCTAAAGAGGAAGGAATCCAGTATAGATGTTTCTACATTGTTGTTGAAACAAGAAAAAAAAAAAAAAAAAGTTAAGTTAAAAAACACCTTTCTCCAAGTTTCTCGGCCTTGTGGGGCTAAGATCAAGTGTAGTTTCTGTAGTGATCGATGGTCTATTGGAGCGGAAAAAAAAAAAAAAAAAAGGCGGCGATGTTTTCATGTGAACTCGAACCACAATTCGCATTACCATCCTCCTTCGAAGCTCCTGACACAAGCAAAAAACACCCTCATCATGACTGTATAGGACCCCAGGGATAGCTTGTATACATTCATGATGAGGGTACATTGTGTTGGGGGGGGGAAGACGGTAGATGCTGCAGTATGGAATGGGAGAAAAGGTTGGGCAATAAACTGCTAAGCTGCATGTCAGATGTTACATGCTTTGAGGGTGAATGGTACGTACTGCTACATAAAAACTAGAGGCTACCATGATACATGCCCAATTGGGCAATGTATATGGACTCAAGGATCCGCAGAGTGCTGAAAAGGACTAGAATGGACAATGCAATGTCAGCCAAGCATCAACAGGCAATGTACATCCCGATACATACAACTGGGCAGAAGGAACCACTGAAAAAAAAAAAAAAAAAAGGGGGTAAGTACGTTCATGTCGCCTATGAGTATCGAATGGGCAAAAAAAACATGCGTCGGCAAAGAAAACAGCGCTGACTTCGAAAAGGCAATGGAAGTACCTACTGCCGTGGTGTCAGACCAGGTGTCATATTTACAGGGGTCGGCCGTGCTGTCAGAGGTTTTCAGACCGGGTGTCATATTTACAGGGGTCGGCCGTGCTGTCAGAGGGGGAAACCCAAAAAAAAAGAAAATGCGCAACGGATACTTTTGGACCGAAATTGGTCAGTTCGAGTTGGTGCGTGGTTCCTTTACAGGCGCGAGTTTTTTTTGCCTTTAGGGTTTCAAAACATGCCGTGTCCGCCGTTAATTCAGAAAAAGAACAAGAAGATGAAGGTGAAGATGAAGATGAAGATGGAGAAGGAACCACTGAACGGCATTAATTGCCCCTTTCAGAGGACAATTACCCCTGAATCTGTCTGTAGGACGGGTACCCGGGCGTGCAAACCAAAAAAAAAAACAAACTTTTTTTTGGGGGGGGTTTGCGCTCTCCCAGAGGACCCCGAATCCGGTCGCATTTGTTTTTTTGCGAGTTGGCTGTCAAGGGGGGGTAAGGGGTATATAAATTGGTTTTTAAAGTGGCTAAAGGGGTTTAAAGGGGGGTGCCTTAGTGTGACTCCGTTATTTTCTTTTTATTCTCGGATTCCCTGAGGAATTCTAATGTGACCCTCAGCCAAAAGCCGTTTGTATTGCACTTAGTGTGACTCTGTTATTTTCTTTTTATTCTCCGATTCCCTGAGGAATTCTAATGTGACCCTCAGCCAAAAGCCGTTTGTATTGCAATTCCACATAACATTTTTTTTCCCGGATTTTTTTTTTTTTTTTTTTTTTTTTTTTTTTGCGCTGGGTCACGCCCGGTCGGGCACCCGGGCGTG